GACATATATTTATTGTAAAATCAAACTCATTCGCCGAATGTAGACAAACCGCGCGATTGCATAAACACTTATCTACGGCATGGAACACCAAAATCCGATAAATAATTTTAAAAAATGTGTTTCTCCGAAAGAAAACCGGAGGTTTTCAGGATTTTTTAGAAATATCTGGATTTCTGGATAAATCCGGAAGACTTTCATTATTAAATGTATCATCCTACTAAGATTGGTTGAAATTGGTCAAAAAAACCACGGAGTAGGTTGCAGACAAACAAACAAATTTTTTGCTTTTATAAGTATAGATAGTAAGTGTCATATAGTAACATCAGCAAAACCTCAATCATTATATATCACCTATGTTGAATTCTATTAATAATTTTTAAATTATCATACCTGATCATGCTGGCTAGATGACTTGTCCAATGAAATCAACTTTCTTAAATGCTGATGTGTGTCTTTTGCCAACTGATTTGTGTAGTTCTGTATCTGATGTCTAAAAGAATAAATTAACTGAGCACAAAAAATTACCATGAACAATTACTCACACCTTAAAATATCACTGATAGTATTCTACTGTTCAGAAAAGGCATTACTGTGTATTTTGCATTAAATATTATTTGTTATGCATTCATTACAAACACACACACACAAATATATATATTACAATGCAGCCAAAAAAGAAAACACAAATTAGAAAATACATCAGTCATTTCAAAACAAAAAAATTGCCTTAAGCAGAAAGACATGTGAATAAAACACTAAGAAATATTTTATTCTATTTTATATTTAACATTCATTTGGATATATATGCTAATAAATTGAATTAGCTACACTAAAAACTCACAGCTGAGAATGCAAACTTTCTGAATCTAGTGTAGTTCCTAGCTGATTTACCATCTTCTGAACTGAACTGACTGAAAGAAACAAAAATATTGAGAATGATAAGTAGTAATAAAACTTTTCAAAGATAGGTATGCTCAATAAATCAACTTAAGGTATTAAAATGCCCAGTGATTTACCAACAAGAAAAAACATCTTATTAGTGAATACAAGTTAATATCAAAATTACAGTTCTAAGCTTGCATATTATAGAACACTATTAGATCTTTAGAGGGAGCTCATATGACTCAAACTTTCCCTCTCAGTAACATAAAATAACTAAAGGAGACCAGATTCAAACATTCACAATCACTAGTTTGACTAGATTTTCTATGAGTATTTTTTTATTAAACAATTCTGGACTCAAATGGTTTGCAGTAGAGATTACCTAAATGTTAGTCTAAATAGAAATAATTATTATAAGGCCTTACTAAAACTTAATATTTCTTCTTTCTTAGAAATGTTTATACTAGAAAAAAAGAAATTTTCCTTTTTTTTTGGAGGGGGAGATAAAACAGAAAAATTAAAACATCTTTCTATAACCAAGACTGGCATTTGTTAATGTATCCAAGTCTTCAAGGTTAACCCACATAAAAAAATACATGTAGAAAACTAGTATCCTACAAATTACATTTCTAGCCCTAAGAATTAACAAACATATTGAAAAGGTAACAGTAGCCTATTACCTTAGATGATTATGTTTACACTTCTGATTGTCTTGGTAAGCTTTTAAGTTTCTTATTCAGTAACTACTTTGTAGCCATGTTAACAAAATAATCTAGTGTGCTTCTATAAGTACATAAAAACCATGGTGAAAATTCAAAGCTGCAGTGATCATAGAAAATATCTTTACTGCATATTAAACAAAAAAAACACAGCCTTTAAAACATACCATTTTGAGTAATCTTTTGGATATTTGTACCAACAACTTGTGAAAGTCTATTGAATTCATCCTGTTCACCTGTAACATAGGAAAAGAAGTATATATATATATAATTAGCATGAACCAGAGTGAAATTAAAGTTTCTGAGTACAGTTTCATTTAGTGTGATGACATCTATTACCATATTTATATACTACTACATCAAACAGAACATTTAGTATGACTTGAAATATCATCCATTAGGTTACAACAACTTAAATAATTATTTATTATTATTATTTTTATATATTCATGTTTTTTACAAGTATGTAACAAAACTAACAGATTACACTATTACACAAATATTTGAAAGCATCTTTTACAATGATAGTGTCTAGGGTAAAAAACTGTATGAATGAAGGTTAAACCTTTCCAACAACCATTTACACATATCAAGTCAAGCAACAGTAATAATAAGTACTCAATCTATACAAGTCTTGTACATGATATCACAAAACTCTTTATTTAATTCAAAACTACCATATTGGATGTCAAACACTTCCTTCTACCAATCAACAGCAATCCAAATCAGTACAAGATTCTGTAAAGCTTCACATCCACAATTTTTCTGTACTGAAAATGTATTTCTGATAGGTACTTACCTCCACTCTTCATCTTCTGCCCTTTAAGCATTGCTCAAAAAGCTTTGTGACCAGCTCCCCAGTCTACATAACCCATCAATTTCATGCCATTTCTGAACATGCACACATCATGTGACTACTCTCTACCAATAGTATTGTGCTACCTATATTGGCACAGCTAGCTTTTCTCTGCTATTACTGGCAAGCTCCAAAAGAAGAATACTGGCAGTGGGGAGGAAGGGTGGGAAGTGTGTGAGAGAAGGTAAGTACCTATCGAAAATACATTTTCAGTGTAAGAAAAATGTTAACTTTTGATAAAGTCCTTCCTCCTCTTACACAAAGGTAGAGAGAGGGGCTGGTGTAGTCAAACAATATTGAAATCAGGCTGAAAGCAACTGCCTAGAATGAACAGGTGTCCTTGGAGATGAAAACGAAGTACACTTGTGGGGTACCACACTACTTCTGGAACAGGTATACTCTTTGTCCTTGAAGTAGAAAATTCATTTCATAGGGGTAGAAAAATAAGGATATGCACAAGTGCAATGTGTTCTGAGAAGTGCAATTCATGGCAAAATATAAACAACTACGTGCATTCACAACCTCAACCTGACAGACGTTGTTCCATATTTCTTCCTTGGGATTAGGAAGTTGTGGTTAAAAATAAAATATTGTAATATAAACATAGTGGCTAGGGCATGTGGACCATGTTATATATACCCATCAACCCCAACTGTAAGTAAACAGTGTTCTACATCAAGCAACTGGAATTATTAAGAGGGAGTTAGCTTTCAGCCAAAACTAGACAACCTCCCAAACATAGGAGCAAGAAGTACAACTAAATGAACCCGGCAATACGGGATAATTGCACTGTCTCAACTCAACCATAAGAACAAGGTAAAATCTGTAACTGGTATTAGGAGCAGAAATCATAAATCACTCAATGTAAATACAGGGAAGTGACATTTGGCATCCAGAATTACGAGGAAAACATGGAACCTTCCCTCAACTGCAGGAACAGCATACGTACGTCCTGTAGCCGGGATTATAAGGCACATGAATTCCCCCAAATTCAAATGTAGGTGCAGGGAAAGAACCTCCTGCAACCAAAATTAACAAGAAGAGAGGCCTCTGCTACACACAACTGTACGAACAAGAAGGTGTCATCCTGAACCTGCTCCAACTGATATATGTCCAACTGGGAAAAAGGATTCAGGAGAAATGGAAGGAGGGAAACCAGCTTTGCCCTCTTCTCACTGAGTGGATAATCATGAGTAGGTATAGTAAAATAAATTTCTAAACTCACTCAGAAGGAAGCCTCCATGGTCCACCGCCCAAGTGACTTGGAACTGGGAGTGGTAAGGACCCCCATGTTCCACTGGAAGTAAATGTGGTAGGGAGTCTGGAGGAACATCACACTGGGGAAAGTGTAATGGGTGTTCACAATTCCCTATTTTGAAATCCAGACAGACCCAATTTATTCAATACAAGGGTCAGCAGGGAAGGTCAGAAATCTCCTTCTTCTTTACTCATGAATTTCATGAGTGACAGTCCACCACTGAGTGAAATTTACTGATATCTAGAAACATGTATATATACCACTTGGTATGCCACCAGTTTTCTTGCGGAAACACCCCATCTCTACAGTGGGTGCTATAGTGCAATTAGTAAATGGTGCGAGTTTGAGGTAAAGCATACCTGATCAGGCAACACCAGTCACAGAGTGGGATCCTAATATCAGTGGTTAAAAACCCCAACCCTCTAAAGATGTGTCCATGAACAGATGTAACTCTGAACGAGGTGGAGGAAGCAGAATACCCATCGTGAATGGATGTGTGTAGAATCACCATGGGAGGGAGATGATATACATCAGAGGAAGATACAGTTAGATCATATACATAATGAATGTGATCTCCTCCAAAGGACAGCTAAGGCAAGCAGCCTAGGACATAGTGATGTGAAAAATTTGATGAGAAGAAATGCCATGGAGACAGCAACCTTCCATGGATAAGTCCAAATACATTAGCCTAACGAGCTGATAAACCCACCCTGTAAGAGTGAGAGGAGGACAGATCACAGGAACAGAAGGGTTCCAGAGAATAAAAAGTCAGGAATATGAATCCCAAAAGAAGGCAGTACATGCCACATAATACCATAAGAAGCTCACCGGACAAAGAAGCCGATCAGGATCAGAATGGGAATATAGATGGGAAATGGATGTGAAAGCCAAACCACCTTTACAGGAAGCATAGGTCTTAGGGATGAAGGACTGGTTGGGATAGAGGATGACATAAGAGGAATGGTAAAGGATGCGAGTAGCATTAATGGCATAAATATCTGATCAATGACATCCACAAGCAAGGAGGAGAAGGAAATAGGACTTTCTGGATAGATGGTACATGGAACATGTAGACAATGGTTCAAAGGGAGGATGAGAAAGGACAAAGGACCACAGTGAGATCCCAATCAGGCAAAACATAGGAACGTGGAAGACGTACGGCTCAAAACGAGCAGAAAAAGGAGGGAAATGACAGGGGAAGACAAAACCTTACAAAACTTGGAGAAATGAAATGTGTTTGGCAAGGCCAGCCAATAGCTAGCCAAGATTAAAGTGGACAAGCCTTTGTCAAATAACCAGGTGAAGAATTTGGAAAGATGAGGAATGGAAGGGTGGGAAGGATGGAAGCCGCGTCGAATAGACCAAAGGCAAAAAGGAAGACCAACGTTTTTGGTAAGTGGCCATGGAAGAAGATTGGATGGATCAGGAAAGGAAAGATGCCACATGAAGAGTCAGTTCCTGGGCTGAAGAAATGAACCTGACAAAAGCCATTTGTGAAGATGGAGTGTGGTAATGTCTGGATGATCAATGTCTGATTTAGGTTGACAGAGTAGAGACTGAGACAGAGGTAAGGGTAGAAGGAGCTCATACAAGTAAAGGTCAGAGCAAAGGGAACCATGACTGCACCAGCTAATATTAAGTCACAAGTAGGACTAGACATGAAGTGGTTTGAATTAGTGATAGAACTCTGGAGAGGAGTTGAATAGGAGGGTAATCATAGACGTGAAGACCCCTACAAACTTTTGTAAAGACCCCAGAGCTAATGGATGTGGAACTGTAGACCAAAAGGAAAGTAGTTTGGTGTTCCTGTGGGTGGTAAAGGCATTGATATGAGGTGCTCCAAGCCTAGAACACACACACACACCAAATAGGATGAGATAATCGATCCACAACCAGATTCAGGGTGCCAGGGACATGGCAAACTAAGACCACAAATATGGTGATTGTGGGCCCAGAAAAAGAGATCCAGAGTTTGAAAACACAGTGACATGGGCTTGGTTCCTCCTTGCTTGGTGATATAAGTTATGACAGTGGAGTGGACCATAACCACCCTCTCCTGCAGGAAAGAATGAAATGGGACAAAGCTTGACAAACTGCCATAAGTTTGAGAATGTTGATATGGAAAGCAGACTCCTCAACTGATCAGACACCAGAAATTCTCTAGAGTTTAGTAAAGTACCGCAACCCTCTAATAATGCATCCATAAACAAATGTAACTCTGAACGAGATGGAGGAAGCAGAATACCAATCGTGAAATGGTCCCTATCAAACCATCAAGCCAGATCGGCCCTGATCTAGAAAGGAAGGAAGGGCAACAGAGTGGTCCAAGAGATCCAAGGAGAAGTTATACTGATCGAGGAGCATCCACTGAAATGATGGGTGCACATGAGCTTGACCCATGGGAATGAGAGCCTTCAAGGAAGTCCACATCCCCAAAGGAGATAGAACTTCTAAGGCCATGAGAGAATGCCATCTCACTTCGTATCCCAGAAACAAAGAAGAGGAATCTGTTGCATCACCTATAATGCTGGTGTCATTAAGCTTAGGTGTGGGAAAATGAGGATAGGGACAGGAATGCCAGGTGGACAGTAAGGATATAAGTGAAGAAAAAGGAGGATGTAAAACAAGGACAGGGGACTCCTAGGTGGAAGCAGGAGGGTGAGATAAATGTGTGATCAGAGAAGACAAGGAAAAATGCAATGTAGCCACATTAGTCCTGGATTCCAAGGAATCAGGACGACCCACAAGTACAGTATTGTGTAGAAAGGGGGCCTGATGTAGATCATGCAGGAAAGAATGGGAGGGATGCACCCCTGCAAGTAAAGCATCCCTCCCCAACAAATCCCAACAACACAAAAGCCAGGTATTGAGGAAAAAGGCAGATGCTGATAAACAAGCCATAGTGGACCAAAGGAGAGCCCCGAGTTCATCTGAAAAATTTTCAGGAGAGTGACAAAAGGCCTCAGACAATAACTGGAAGAAAGACAGGTAACATAAAAGGAAGGAGAAAGAAAGGAAAATCCTTGAGAACTGAGCCTGATTAAAATGAACCAAAAAACCTGGATTCAAGCTCCACAGAGGGAATAAAGGATCCAACTACTGAGAATGCAAAACTGGATCCGAAGCACAATGGTACTCCAAAGCATATTGGTTCAACAAATGAGGGGGGATAGGGCATGCCAACACCTGACTGAGTTGGTCAGAAAATCTCTGACTATGAACTCTTATGTCAAGCAAAGAGGGAAAAACATAATAATCGGAAGGTGGAATATTAGCTAGTAAGGAAGGGGAGGCATCTTAGGCGACAGGGGAAACATGCAAAATGCTACATACTTGATTACAAATTTTCTTCACCATGATGGTATTCATCCTCAGGTTGAAAAGGAGAAGAAATTGCCAGCCAAACGTATGACTCTGCAGATAAAGTCGAATCTGAGTCCTGGGAAGTTATAGCATTTGTATTGTCGACTGTCACAGGAATTTCCATTTCTGACATACTGAACCTCAATTTCATGCTAATTACAATTAGAATTCAGAAACAATAAAAAATTCAAATGTAAAATCATTGAAACAATTGAATTCAAACACTGATAAATAAAACTGTTTAATATATTTTTTTCAAATGGCAACAAAATGCAATCAAAAGCTGTGGTCACACTAAAAAAAACACATCTAAACAATGTAGTTCCAATCAAGAAAGTGAAGATTGAGTGGGAATAGCAGAGAGAGCTAGCTGTGCCAATATATATGATAAAATACTATTGATGGAGAGCAGTCACATGATATGTACATGTTCATAAATGGCATGCAGATAGGACCATATTGAAATTATCTATCACTACTATAGTATATCTTTTGTTTTATTCTTACACTCAATGTAAATAATAGGAGATTGAGCTTTTAATACAAAGAAACTAAAATAAAGACTGCCAACCACTGCTTGACACTATAGCAATAAGACAAGCCCAGCCTATTATCAACAATTTGGTATATAATTGTATAAACTAAGCAAATTAATTACTACAAAGGTATGTGGGGGGCACAACAATTGTCTCTTACATCCTTTCAGGGCCTTGTTATAACACTTTTGATTCACCATTTAGTAAGACTACATAGTCTTCAGGGATGGCATGACCACCAGTTTTGTGTCAATATAATGAACCAGAATGTAAAGAAGTTTGTCCTAATTGTGGCTTCAGCCTAAGATCCTAAGCTCAAACTAATACTCTAAGAACGATACTCAACCAAACATGTTATAAGAGCTCAATTCCCAAACAGTTAACTTTCACCCTGATCATGACAAACAATTTACTAAAATAAATATTAATGCTTCAAAAGGTATAAAAGAGCATAGTAGTTTTGTTAAAAATTAATTAATTCTATAATATAACTTACACCCAAAATTTTCTCCTTGTTGGAAAGATGAGAACTGTAATACATCTGAATATCCTTTAGACATACTGAGATTCTGTAGTCCTTGGTGTTATAACTAGAACAGATAATCTTTTCTTTGAGGTAGAATGTTCTTGAAAAAAACGAGGATGCTGAAAAAAAATGTAGTTATTCAAATGATGTGTAAATAAGCCCATGTGAGGCAAATCATCTGTTGCATATTTTTATCCCAATTTCTTCAGATCTACAATCAATGAATTTTACTTTAATTTTTTATAATGTTACAAACTATTTACAATAACAACAGCTTTTAAATGCTTACACTAGAACTACGTATGTTTTTAAAATTATAATAGCTCTACTCTATGAAAAATTGTAACAAAATCTGACTATAAGTTGGTCATAACACTTTAACTATTTTCTAGTTACTAAATTAAAAAGATTTACAGCACTCAAACTAGAAGCTATGATCAATTTTTAGACTTAAACGAAAGACATTATATGTAAATTTGTTAAGTCAACTAATTTCAGAATGGCTTTTATAAGTTCTACATAATTTTATCACCTATTGAATACTAAACTTTGAAGCTTTTTTTGAAAGGTTAAAAAACTAGGTAAAATAATACATACAAAAATTATAAGAAAAATGGCAAAATGTGAAATAAATATTTAGTGAATGATGGACTACTATTTGATATAAGAAAGCCAGCCAGTTGTGTCTGACCTTGAAGATAAATATCACCTGGAGACAATTTCACTGATATATGTATAACTTCATTATGATTTCTGATAAATACACCATCAATTTTGCAAACAAACTAATACATAAGATAAATTAGATTATAAACACAAAATTTTTAAGTAAAAAACATGAATAATGACAGTGATATTTTCTATTGGCAAGTAGGTTATGCCCCAATGATACAATAACCCTTGTTGATAGTGAGAGTAGACAAGTTGGTGTTGCCTGTATCCTGGAAGTTAACATCTTCCTAATCTGAAAATGTATTTCCAATATTTAACAAAGAGGACAAACAATTCCAGAAAAATGTTTAACTACTTGTACCCGACGTTTCGGTTTCCGCCTTTATCAAGAGTCTATGAACGTCACAGGTTACCAAACAGATTTGTAAGCCAAAACGTTGGGTACAAGTAATTCAACATTTTTCTGAAGTTGTTTGTCAACTTCATTAAATAATGGTTTCTATCCTTCAGTCAGCACTGAAAAATTTCAAAAACAGTAATATGTATTTCCAATAGATATTCACCTCCGCACGCTGAATAGCTATATTCCTCATGCATTTGCCGATGAAGCTTGCATGCCACTAGCCTTAAGATAACTCCCACTTAAATTCATTGTTTTAACGTGAACTGCACTGGTTGCATAATAACATCATCATGAGACAAAAGCCCTTCACCAATAGGATGGCAACTCAACTTCCATGCACAGTAGCTTCCCATATGCACTTGCACCAGTGATACACCGCTCTCTCCAGTCGTTCTGACCACATAAAATCAGATAAAAGTAGGAAAATCATGTGAGAAACAAGCCTAGAGAATTTGCTTAGATCATGTTTGATACTTCTCATGACCAACTCTTTAATTACTCTTATTAACATTGTAATTTTCTCACTGAACTTCAGAATTTAGATTTTTATTGATTTAAGAAAGGGTGTTTCACTATGTTTATCTATCAAATCAATATGATAGCAAACAAATTACAGACACAATTAATAAGTTATGAATAAAGAATTACTTTGAATTTATTCAATGAGGCTTTGAAAGTAGTACTCCTTGTGAGAATATAAAGAAAAATAGCTAATCAGTTATCATACATTAAAATTATGTAAAAACTTAAAAGTGTACTGAAACAATTGTGAAACATTATAAAAACCTCAAGCAGCATTTTTGCCCTTTACTGTTTGGAAAATCAAATAATTCAATTATTCTAAAAGCTAAAAAAATTAAATCTGTTAGAAAGAGAATTTTCTAATAATATATTTTGCAGAAGTTTCAATTTTGAATGAGATTTTGTATATTTTGCATCAACAAAATTATTTTTATATATATTGATTTTGTTTATTAAAAAGACTAAACATTTCAGAACTTGGTTAATCACATAAATTTGAAATATAACTGTCTGAATTTGTTGTACGTTTTGTTAACAATAATATCACATTTACTTGGCTAGGTTGTTATGTTTTAAGCAATTCACTAAAACAGTGATTAACAGGAAGGAATCTTCAATAGCCACAGCACTTGAAATTCTTTTAGGCAGGACTAGAGTAAATTAATCTATGAGACCTTTGTTTCCGTTTTTATGAGCTATATTTTTGTGCACAGCAATACTAAGCATGAGGCACGCATATACCCAATTCAATTTTATTACTCATTAGAATCTCTACCAGCCTACCCTCAAATTGAAATTCTTTTAGGTAGGATTACAGTAAATTAATCTATGAGACCTTGGGCATGGTTAAATATATCAATCAAAAGGGTTTGACCTCCTGAGTCCAAAACTGTAATTAGATCTTAAATCGGTTAAGAGATGACAGAGCTATGAGCTAAAAGTTTGTAGTTGAAAAAAAAAAAGAAGTCAGAGCCATCCTATGAGCCACAGCTAAAAATATCAAAATAAGGCTTACTATATACAGTACATAATATTGAAAAATCATTGAACATTTCATTAAATTGTTTGTGGACCGAGTTAAGCACTAGACTTTAAATGTAAGATGTAGGGGCCAAGAAATTCGTTTCTCTGTTACTGGTCACCAAACATCATTTCAGATGCCTCTGAATTAAGCCTTTTTTGCAGCTATTGGAGAACAATAGTGAAACCACAGTGTGTGGGACTGGGTAACTAGAAGTATTATAATGCTAATATTTTAGCTGACTTATATTTCACCATTTTACATTTTGGTAAACTGTTTTACTTGACTTTCACTTCTCAAAATATAAAAAAATTATGTCAACAAGTTGTGTTATTTTATTAATTTTTATTCAAGAAAGAAAGGTAATGTTTGTTCATTGTTAAGCATAAAGCAAAACAATGTGTTGTGCCCACCAGGAATATCAAAACCACTGATGTGGTCACTGAAATTGAAAACATCAGTTACAACTACAAAACAAAAAATGTTACAGTGTAAATTCTGCTGATACGACTACAGGTAACTAAATCAACCGTTCTTGAACAAGTTGAAGCTAATAAGTACTTACTACAAGTATAATCTAGAAGAAGAATAGATACTTTCGGTCTTGTATTCTAAAAGAGGGAAACTGTGCTAACACAACATTAATATTAGAATTGAACTTAGTTAGAAAGCAGGACAGCTCAATCTAGAATATGCAAGGCATTCTAATCTTTATGTGTAAGAACAATATATTTAATTTATGATACTCATTACGAGGTTGATATTTAGTTTTGCTCTAATTAGTTGGCTTGCTCAGATCGGAATATTAATTAATACCTAGGCTAGAACCTAACACTAGTATTAGTAACACTAAACAGTTACATTATTTAATTTCTGAATTTCATATTAATGTATAAAGGCATTTTAATACTAGCACTAGTAAACGACCTTACAACACCAAATTTATTTTTCTTTAATTGGACACAACGTTTCGCTTTACAGCTTCTTCAGGTTACGGTTTTATTCACTTTTACTTAGTCAAAGTTAGTGGAATGATCCTGAAGAAACTGTAATTTGTAAAGCGAAACGTTGAGTGTCTAATTAAAGAAAAATAACAAATTTGGTATTAATTATAAACTGTTATAACTATAAACTAATAAAGTATAAGATCGTTTTCTACTAGTAGTAGTATTAAAAAAACCTAACATTATGTATAATAAATTAATATAATATTACAACTATAGATAGCGATAGCGCTTGGGTTATAGGGTTTTTATTCATTTCTATCAATACTTCTTGAACCTACGTGTTCATCAAACATAACCTGGAAAGCTATACTATATAGTAAAAATATTTGCTGTAAATTGAGATTAGTAACACTAACAGAAATATGTTGCAGTAAAAACTGATTAAACAAATATTTTCAAAATTTCATACATAAAGTAAAAAGTTTAATATTATATTACTATGAATCTAAGCTCTCAAAAATAACATTTTCAAAAACACGTCCATGCACACAACTAAGTATGTGGTGCTACTAAACAAAGTAAATTCTGATTTTATGCATATTATGTACTAAAAATAAAATAGATAAGTTTGTTACAATAGAATTATAATAAATAGTAGCGACACACTAACTTAGTTTGTTTGTTTGTTTTGAATTTCGCGCAAAGCTACACGACGGCTATCTGCGCTAGCCGTCCCTAATTTAGCAGTGTAAGACTAGAGGGAAGACAGCTAGTCATCACCACCCACCGCCAACTCTTGGGCTACTCTTTTACCAATGAATAGTGGGATTGACCGTCACATTATAACGCCCCCACGGCTGAAAGGGCGAGCATGTTTGGTGTGACGGGGATTCGAACCCGCGACCCACTAACCTAGTACTACGACACTAGTACGAGTACGACAAAGAAAACATACGAGTTCGTTATTCTACAATTTGCCCCCAGTGGCACAGCGGTATGTCTGCGGACTTACATCGCTAGAATTCGGGTTTCGATACCCGTGGTGGGCAGAGCACAGATAGCCCATTGTGTAGCTTTGTGCTTAATTACATACAAACAAACATTCTACAATTTCAAGAAATAAGAGTATCAAAAAATAATTGTATGATTTACGACACTTGATTTTATTTTCACATATTTGACGTATGTTCTGTGCCAGAAGACGCACAACAGCAATTGTAAGCAGACGTCAGAAATGTAGAATAATATCTACGCATGGGCGATAACAGCCGAGAGGCGCTAGAATGTTCTTTCCTGATCTTCGCATGCACACAGAAGATTTGCTGAGTGGCTTTTAATTAACAAGCGGAATTGGGCTTGTTTTATTTTGAGATCGTTCATTTTATTTTTATTTTTGTAATAGCTGACTTCAACACACAATAAAATGGTCGTAGAGGTGGTTTCAGTGATTCACATGGTTAATCACATCGTTTCAATTTTTTGAATGATTCTATCCCAAGTCCTGTTCAATTAAAAACACACCCACAATCGTGAATTTCTGGCCCGCCTACTTGACACATTTTACATTCCAATTAACCTTCGTAAATTGCTATTACTAGGGTAAGACATAAAAGAGTAGTTTTGAAAGTCAATACTGATTGTTTTGGACTTATTTCGAAAGGCAGTGCCGCTTATTTTGGGCTTCTTTTTGAACCGCATTGCCGCTTATTTTTCTTGCGAGACTTGGCAACACTGGCACACAAGGACCAGCAATTTGTTATTGTTGCGTATCTGCTTGTTTGTTAATTTCCGGTAAAAATTCTATCCGAGAAACTTCAGCGATACAGTTCCTTTCTT